AAGAATCCGAAATAAGGACAAATATGGAAACAAAACAAAACAAATTATCAATAAATATTGAAATCTTACAAAATTAATATATCGCAAAAGAAATTATTAACTACAAATATGTCTAAAGTATTTCATATCTAACACAGAAGAAGGAAAAAGAAAATAAAATTTTATTCCTAAAATATGCATACAAAGAACAGATAGATACAAATTACCTATAAATCTATATGCCGAACACAGTGACACAGAAGGTCGAACCAAATCGAAAGAAACCAAACCAATGACCTAGATCCATTGGGATTGAAATAGACCAAACTATCTAAGCAAATGGAAAAGAAATAAAAAGTAACAAACAAAAGTTCAAATCGATTGTAAGAAAAGTTCACAAATATTCCAAACACACATATTTGAAATCTTCTTTTTCCTTCTCAACCAAGTTGATAAACAGGATCCCAACATAGAAAATTGCACATGTTCAAAGGTTAGGTTTGAATGAGAATCACACTACCTACTCGAATATCAGGTTACAAAGGCACGTACATGTGCATTAAAAACAATGTTAGCAAATATTTGCATAAGCAACTACAGGTAATCAATGGGATCCGGTGGAAGTTGTAAAGCATAGATTTCTTATTCCCGAAATGAGACATATATGCAAAAACATTTCAACGATCATACAGAAGAGAACGGTATAATCCCAGTTTTCCCTTTCATCAATAATAAGATATTCCTTGAATGATGGGTCACATGTCTAGGAAGGAAGCAGTTCTTCGAATTCTCTTTTCTCACTTGTAACAAAACTTAATTGAAATATTCATTTATAAAATGACTTTCCAAAAGATTAACCACTAATATTATTGAAACTTAATACTTGTCTAACACATATCAATATCTTCATTTTTTGTTATAGTGTCAAAAAAATAATAGCTTTCCAAACTTGTATTACAATTTCACTGTTGCAAATCACTAATAGGCGAACATACAAAAAATAGACATAAATATATCAATGTCACATAGAGGATACCATTTTCTCAGCTGCATCGAATGCATCTTCAGGCATAGTCCCTTGTCCATTTTCTGCACCAAAATAAGAATTAATAAAAAAAAACTTGCAAGCGTCGTTGAAATGAAACAGCACTACATATATCAATTTAACCCAAATTCGTAAACACACACTATCAAATTCTTGTACAAAAGTTTTCCTA